AAGAGGGTAGACAGCACAGTGGCTCTGTAAACACTGATCAGTGTTTACAGATCAGTGACCAATATTATAATGCTATGTTTTCTAATGTATTTTATACCTCTATCATATTTTAAATACTTAGTGTTAAATCAACAGCTAATGCTTTTTCTTATTTTTCAGGATTTTAGATTCCTCACCTAGAGCTAATACTGCAGGAATGCTGGGTACATGGACATACTCTTTTCCTTACAAAAATTATTCGTTACTAATGTACAATTAAAAATCAAATGAATGTAAATGTTCTTAAACTAGATTCTGTTTAGGATTCAAAAGTTTCTTTACTTTCTTGATTATATTAAAAGCATATTAAAATTATTTGTTTCCTAGTGTTATGATGTTTACAACCACATGTAATTCAGCTGTAAAAAGTCAGTGTGTGTATGCAACAGACATTGCCTCTACCAACACTCTTAAGTAAATAATTTTTCCTTTCTAAATAAAAGCACTCAGCTAGAGAGTTGTTTGAATAAGAATGTTTGCAACACAAATACAAAAAATTGATTTTTTTTTCCAAATATGTGATTTGTGCAGTCTTTAAAATCATAGCTTATCTAGACAGGCCAAAGAAAGTGTAGTTTGATATTCAAGATGATGTTTTCTCCCCCTGTACTTCCTTTGCTGTAGTCTATGGACTTGTGGCAGTCTGCGGGGTCAAGTTCAGTACTCTGCAAGTGATCTATGGAATTATATTGATGATAAAGGAGTTTTACAATCCCCAATAAGATTTAAGGTTAACAATGTTTCACTGGAAAAAAAGATGAGATTCTCTATTCCCTTAATAAAAGAAACATGAATAAGTTGTATGTTTTGAAGAAATATCTTGACTTTAATTCAACCAAAATATAATGGCATCATTTTTTTAGCTATTAAGAACACAGATGCACTCTGGTTCTCATTCAGAAGAAGATTTAATTGCAACTGGGATTAGGATTCACTTGAAAATTCAACTGCTTTCAATGTAGACTTAAAGAAACTCTGCTAAGAAAAACAAGTCAGCCTCACAATCTTCCCAGCTTCTCTCTCTGAGTTTATTTTCACACCACAGTTGTGTTAAAACATGATGTTGAGGTTGTATTTATGTTGAAAGTAACTAATCATTCAGAATGGGATGATCTTCATGGTCCCTTCCAACTCAAACCATTCTGTGATTCAATGTAGAAGCAGACTAAAGTTTTTAATATTGTATTGACTGGTCATGGCTTGAATTGACCTCACCATTATAACTCCTGCTTCTGCAATTTTGGATGAGCAGCAAAACTTCAGAAGGTAGCTGGGAAAATGATGGCCTCAGAGGTGTAAGCCAAGTTGAGAAGACCTTTTCTTGATCACTCATTTTTGCACTGCTGTTTGCTGTGCCTCCAGTTGAACTGGCACCATTATATGTGAACTGAGGATCTAGTTACCTGACCCCTGCTCAGAACTAATGTGAGGCCTGCCACAAAATTGTGTTTCATAATGTATTGTACTAGATTAGGCTATTTGTTTGAAGTTTTTCCCGCAAGTGCCTTACACCACACAGCTGACAGCTCCCACTCCAACAGGCAGGGCATGAGCAGCCCACAACTGAGGGCAGGGCAGGGAGTGTGGTGGCCACCTTTGGTCACACCAAACCACCTGAGAGTGCCACCCTTTGACATTTTATTCCTTTCTTCTGGAATTGTTTCAAATGGGATGTGTTTTCTCAGCAGCAACCCGTGAAGGATGGGCCAAGTGGACAGGGCTGCCCTACTGCCACTGTCCTGCCACCACAGGGTCAGGCCAGCAGCATCCGTGAGGGCCAGCAGTGCCAGGGCTGGCCATGCAGGTGGGCACAGAGCATCACCCCAGCACTGAGCTGGCCGGGGGAGGCAGCAGCTGAGGCTGAGGGCAATGAGGGAGTTGGGTCAGCGATGTCAAGGAAACGGGGGAGATTTCAAGTGGGTGGTAGGGGGCATTACTGGGCCCTGAAGCACCACATCGTGCTGCTGGGGCAACCAGAGAGCGGTCTGGAGCAAAGGCAACTGCTGGGAAGGGAAGGTTCCCTCAGCATGGCCAAGCCTGCCACAAGGCTCCGCAGAGCCCTGCAGGGCAGGGAGAGCTGGGGCTGCTGCTCTGGTCCTGCATAACCTTCCCAGCCCTTATGGGGTCCTGAAAAATGACAGGTGGGAGAGAAGCTTCTGTGGGTTTCCTTGTGCCGAGACATCAGGAAACTCTACGTTTCTAACCGTTAAGAATTAACTATCATTGCTGCCCTGTAAGAATAATAAAACGCTACAATTTGTTAGCTGAACGGTCGTAGGTGTTCATATTTTAAAAACATCATTGAGAATTTGTTTCATGTCATTAGCCAGAAAAAAAGAACTGCAAATTAAATTTATTAGAAGTGTTATTTACATGTAAGGATTGATGTTATCCAGGGTGTGGTTCACCAGCTGGTGGTGATTAACATCATCACTGGCAGCAGTCAGACATGTTATGAAAAGGGTTTTCTCTTGGGCTTGTGCCCTGCTGGTAAAGTAATGCTGTTTCAGTGATGTAGCTTCATACTCTGAAACCAATTTATGTTGGATCGTTTTTGCTACTGCTTGGCTCCTTTACACTCCTACCATCAAATATCTTGAGAAGCTTTTGACACATATTTTCATTTATTTCATCAACGTTTTAAATATTGATTTGATTCAAATTGTTAAAAAAATTGTTAAAGGTTTGCTAGTTTCTGACCTTCTCTTCCTTGAGGCAGGAGTTCAGATTTATCAGATACTGGTTTCTGTTACATTTACTGTCATCTAGGGTTCTTGATAAAATTTTTTTTTCTTTTATATTTTGTAGATGTAACAGCATCTAGAAAATGTCCAATATAGAACTGGTTGCACAAACGTATTGAATGTTGCAAGCATTAAATAGGTATAGTATAAAACGCACCATTGAAGTAAAATAGTATGGAAAGATTTTATGTTGGACCTAGATATACAGAAAAACACAAGATGTCAAAATATTAAAAATATTTCCTGGCAAAAAAATGGTCAGAGCTTATCTTCTGGGTTACCTACATTCCAATTCCATTTCATTAGTCCTTTTTGCTGTGTGGTTTTGAAGTTATTTGTCCAGTTATGATGATGATTTTTGTTATGTTTTTTAATACCTTGTTCTTCATAATCCTGCTATGGGAAAGGATTTGCATTCTATGAAGCGGGCAAATCTGATTCTGTCTTAAATCAGGCAATCATACACTAAACACTAATTTGGAGGCCAAAGTGCCTGTCTATCACCTGTGTTTCTTCTGTAGTTACCTTGGAGGAGTATTCCTAGTTATGTGGATTTTTTTGATAGCCTGGCTGTACCTAAGTCAAAATTCTGCTTTGGTGAAGGATTGAAAACTTGCAGTAAGACTGAGTGTAAGACGCTTTTGTGTAAGTAAACCCTGAGGAATAACACTGTAGCAAAATCTTTGGGTTTTTCCTACTACAGACCCATTAGTGACCATCTAACTCATTTATGGAGCTTCTCCTTTAATTTTTTCCCAGTGGATTGTATCAATTACTTTCCAATCAAAGAAAGAGAAAACATTATTCTTAATTCTTATATTTTTTATATGTGGATAAAGTCAGTTTGTGAGTATATTTGAAATATCATTTGGAGATGAAATAACCACCTTCTTAGAGGTAGAAAGTTACAGAAAATAATTTTCCACCTATTGTAACTATTTACAGAGGAGCAGTTCAACATCAGGATATCGGAGATTTGCAGAAGGAATAAATTATTCAGATGTGAAATCTCTTCTTTATCTTAGCAATAAGGCTCTAGAAGTTTGCAAGGCCAGAGTGCTGCATTAGTAGTGCATGTTGGTAGCAGTACCCTTGCCTGCAGTCTCCTAAGCCAATGCAATAGGAGTGTTGGAAGAACTGTCGTGAGCTGCTGCCACTTCCTTTCCACTTCAAATCCTGCCAAGCTTTGCTTCCTCCCTCATGCCAGAGAAACTGGCAGAGATCAGAGGCTTCTTGCAAACCCACTGTTTTGAACTTCCTTGTGAGCGATAGCATGATTCTATTTACTCTCTTTGTGAATTCCACAAGTATTTTTTCATCTAAATTGCAAAGCAATTTTTTTTACCTTTGTGAAAATCCTTGAGGCATGTGTAGTATTTGATCTTCATTAGAATTGGTTGCATTATACTCATGCTAAATTCTGTACAAGAGCCTTGTTGAATAAAAATGAAGCAGCTGTCAGTTGAAAAGGCCAGTGCAGTACTCATGGGCACGGTAATAATCCAATAAAAATCCTGGATGTTTCCTCAGGTAAAATTTTTGTAATGTACTTTTTGTTCGATTTATGCTGCATTATTATGGAATTATGTATATCACCAAATATTTATGTTATTCAAATTTATTTAGTTATTTATTTATGGAGGCTTTTCAAATAAGTCATTATTTCAGGGCCAAAAATACCATACTTTTTGATTAGCAATCTATTTTAAAATCTGCTTTACTACTTCCAATTCATATTTGAGGCCTCCCAAGTGTTGCTATTCTACCATTCCAACAGCAGCTTCGTTAAAATAAAGAGTCTTTTAATGTGATAATTTCAGTAGAAATGCAGTCTTATGAAAAGCATGCAGTTCCTTTATCTTAACTGTTGAATTAAAATTACCACAGAAGTCCAGTGTTATAAACATGGTGTATTATGTTAACACATTAATATTAATAATCGATTTAAAACAAAGGTATGATTCTAGGTATGCTTTTACACATTTATTCACAGTGTCAATACCTTATTTTTAGTAGTTCTTGCTGTTTTCAGTTCTTAAGTGAAAAATGACAAATAAAAATTCATGATAGAGAATGGTCCATGAAGGTGTTGCAGCCTTAAAGTAATGGATCCCTTTTGTTCCACCTTCAGTACATCCAAAGCAAAAATGACTGGTTTTAATTTTTAAAAAGGCACACAAGAATCATTTGTTGATTTAATTTTGCTTTGTACTATTAAAACAGGGTCCAAATAAAGATACTGAATGGAATGATATATTGAAATATTTTGGAATTCTTCCTCCAAAAGAAAAACTGAAAGATGAAATTGAAGAAATGGTTTTACACTCACAGAAAGAAGCACAGGGCAAGTAAAATTAAATATACATGCCAGTAGTATAACAAATTTTGAAAAGTGGGAATATTTTCAATAATACTTTTTATAACTTGAATATTGTACAATAATTATGTTTTAATTTTTATTATTTTCACTTTTTTTTTTAAAGGATTCTGAATTAAACATACAATACAGTTAGTGACAGTTTACACAGAATAAAAAAGCTAACTTCATCAAAACATTTCCTCTGTTTAGATTCTACCTTTACTTACTGCTTTTGAGTTTTTGAAATGACCAAAACAGTTCTAGTGCTAACACTCTGTATCTAGTGCTGTATTCTCACAGGAAGATAATAATTCACAGTTATGTGGAAGTTGTAAACTTAAACTATCTTGTATTGTTGCTAGAGTATAATAACATTGTGCATGTATTATTTAACTTTTTTTTTTTGAAAAGCCACTTTGCAGTGGCTTTCAGTTAGTAAAATTAAGAGCTGCTTTTAGTTCAACAGATTTCAGTAAGGTATTTTCCTTTTCTACCTTGCAAGTATTTTTACAGATGAAGACTGCCATCTACTGTTTTTACATTTCGGTTTTCATGAATTATTTTAAAATTGGTAAATATTAGTATATATACTGTAATTCCTCCCTAAACTAATCTCATTTTCAGGATCATACAAACAATTAGTACCTGCTTTAATATTTTCTGGCTTTTTCTCAAATGATAAATGCTTGTGCAACTTATTACTCAAGTTTCCCAAATCTGATACTGATTAATTAAGAAAATGTATTTTAATGTCATATTATTGAATAAAGATTGGCATAGAAAACTTTCTAAGGTGTGAAATTGTGTTAGAAGACCTTAAGCTAAAGGGTTGTTCAATTTTTAAAGTAATTGAGATGCACTGGATATTATTTTAAAATGCACTTTAAATGTTCCAAATATGCTTATTTTTAGTTTTAGTTTTTAATTAGGCAACAAGACTTGCAAGAATGGAAATATCTTCAGAGGAGGCAAAAGTATGGGGAACTAAGAGAAAGCTGTAGAAAGCAGTATGTAAATGAAGTTACAAATGCTCCAGAGGATGTTTGGGTTATAATTCATCTTTATTGGTCAAGGTAATTACATTCTTGCACAAAATGTTGAATACTTCAATACAAAGAATTGAACTGGTAATTAAAAAGCAATACCAGGAAAAATTAAATACGAGAGTCTTATGAAATAGCATTTGGTTGGAGGCAATGGAATTAGAGAGCATCTGACCTCCTTGATTTGCTAATTCACTTAGTGTGAATTAATCACTTCACTTTTGTTCAATTATATGAAAAAAATATTTTGCTGTGTACACTTACCACCATGTATGTAACCTCACTGAATCTCTGAATTTCACTGAGAAAGTGGTGTCCACTCTTTGTAGATTCTTTTCCTAGCAGGAGTACTTTAACAGGACTTTTCTTTCCCCTTTATTTCCCCTTTGACTCCAACAAATCAAAAACCCTTCAGGAAAAGTTTCAGTTATGAAAACTGAGGAAAGCTAGAGGACTTGTTAGTTTATCATCTTCCCAGTGAATTCTGTAGAGGTAGCAGAAGTTGTGATAGGATCCAGCAGAAATGTCAAAGGACTTCCATGATCAGTTCCATATATGTTAGCAACTCTATTAGATGTTTTTGAAAAGCACTGGGAATGACTATGGAACATTTAATAATTTTTTAGGCTCAGGCCAAATTTCATTAAAATTACAGCAATTTAAATTTACAGTTCTGAAGAAAGAAAACAGCAGCCTTTCTTGATTTTCATTGGATTTGTATAATGGAAAACCAATTCTGCAATTTACCATTGCATAAATACGAGTCTGTGAGGAAACTGGAAATTCCTTGGGAATGAATATGAGTATCTTTAAAGTCTCTCATGGCTTGTAACAAAACTGCGTCGCCCGCCTTTGGCCCCCAGGGTCCATAGGCCACATTGGCTGCAACAAAGATCCTAATTGCTAAAAGGTTAATGGGCTGAAGGGGAACAAGAAAAAGGGGGGTTTCTGTGTCTGGGTTTTTGGTGGAGTTTTTGGTTTTGTTTTTTTGATTGGTTTCTTTCTTTTTTTTTTTTTTTTTTTAAACTGAGGTTTATATAGTGATTGTATTGCAAATAGTAGCTATGGAAGTAATGAACAGGTTTTTGGTGATAATATGACTATACAAAGGTTTCCTTGATGTTACTTAGATTTTACTAGAATAAAGAATTAATGAAATGTTAAACTGAAAGCTAGTCTAAATAAGTTAAAGTAAAATGTATGTTACAGGTTCAAAAATCTCATTTAAACTCTACAATAAATGAACAGAATGAGCTTTAAAATCTCAGTGGAGAACAAAACTGAGGCACAGTGCTTGAAATGTCTGGTAGCTTTCACAGACTGTGCCTCCCATGTAATTTTACTTGGATAGCTCTTTGAATCACAACGATCTTAGAAGAAGCTAAATAAAATTTGTGGTGCAATTCTTATAACAAATTGTTATAGGTTATAAATCTGAGAGAGGAATTTTTCTTTCCCTGCTTCCTTGTAAGAGAAACAGAGTTCAAATAGGGAAGGGGGAAGGGAATCAATTAGCCTTACAAGAGAAATGGCTGGCCAGACTGCATTCCTGGCTAATGGCCCATCGAATGCTGGAGTGAGGGGGGGGAAGGTTTTGGAGATTTGGGGAGCCGGCTGCCCGGACAGAGGGGAGCGCAGACTGTGGAGTTCGCTCTCAGGGATGGAGAAGGGGATCTGCGTGTGGGCATTTGGAGAGAAGGGCAGGAAGTTTTTCTTTCTGGCTTTTCGTCCTGGTGAGGCCGGACCACTGGACTCGGTCGGCTCGCACGCTGCCTCGTGACTCCAGCCGGGACCTACTGGGTTTTCATCGGAGAGGTCTGTGCTTGCTGGGAGAGAAGGGCAGAGCCTTGGAACACCGTCATCTGGGAACAACAAGAACTGCAGGCCCTGCACCTCCAGCGACCCAACAGCGCCCCCTGCAGGCCACGATTAGGACTGCGCTAAAGGACAGAGAAGTGTTCGTTCAGACTTTTTTTTCTAGTACTACTGTCTAGTTTTTTTGTGTTCTGTTACTGTTTTTGCCAACATACATATATCTTTTAATAAAGGGTTGTTATTTCTTCTGGTTTTTTCCACACTTCCTAGATTAAAGCCCCTTAATTTTGAATTTACAATTGCTGAGAGAGAGGAGTTTGGTCTATCTCATAACTCACCCTCTTTAGCAAACATTCCAGTCTCCTCAGACTGAGACACAAATTAAAATAGAAAGAGACTATAGTATTCTTTAAAGAATTCTTTAGTTACTTTACAAATCATTTATACCAGAAGTGTCATCATACTTTCTTCTTTTCTAGCATCCCAATGTGTTTACTGGTTAATGAACACCTCAACCTGCTAGCCTGGAAGTTTCCAGAAGTCAGGTTTCTCAAAGCCATTGTAAACTTCTGCATTCAGAATTACCATGATATATACAGTACTTGTATATAAACTAGTGAAATAAAAGGCAGGTTCATTGGAGTAGCTGAATGTAGAAGATAAGAGAAGTACTTTTAAATAACTCACCATATGGAAAATTTTATTATTTTTGTGATCATTACATCTAAAGGCCACTGCTTAAAGAGTGAACAGGTTTTTGATTGTTTTTGTAGGGGGAAAAAAGTCTACAAAAAGCAAAGAACTAATTTATGTAATTCTGTGTCAGAGTATTGCCTAAGCATGGGTATTCTGCAATGTCACAGTTAGATGTTTTACTGAGATAAGGTTGGGTTGGCTCTAGTTTTTATTGTTGTTGAGATGTGTCTTGCTCTTTATTTAAAGTCATTTTTCTCTTAAGTGAGAATTACCTGCAACTATCAGAATAAAATATAACTTGTTTTTACGAGAGTTCAATTGAAAATTAGCAGAAGTTGGAGCAACAAAAACTAAGAACAAAACCCTCAAAAGGACATTATGAATATGATACTGCCAGTGTGAAGCACTTCTGCTCATGAAGACACCAATACAAAAACCAGTGATGTGATGAAACTGCTTGAGAGCCTTTTAATGCTTTAAGCAGATCATCTGTTTGGCATAAGTTAGTTCACATACAGTTTTTTACTCCTGTGGTAAGCCCGAAACTATTAAAAACAGGGGAGGGGAAAAAGAAAAAACTTCTGGTTCGATTGTGTGTTTTTTGGTTTTGATTTGTGGAAGAAAACTGTAGTAAATGAAAGCCACACTTACCTTTAAATTCCTAGAGATGGCTGTCATTGACATGGAGAGTCTGGATACTCCATTTCATAAAAACTCTGCTTAAACGGAAAAGGGAGGGCATTAGCTGGTGGGCTCTAATCCATAGTTTCCTCTTCCTTTTATCCAGTGTGGGTGCAAGATATTCCTTTAATTTTCAGTGACATTACTGTAGTAGAACTCTGCTCTGCAAAGTACCTTCTCAGTTCCCCCACTGAAAAGCGTGACCCAAAGACAATGATGCTTATAGACATATATACTGTGAATCCATTGACTAACACTTCCATTTGTCTGATAAGAGTTCAAGAATTTTCTCTAGGGTTGTAGATGATTGTCCCACTATTTTAGAACACTGACAGTTGAATCAGTTTTTCTTTCCTTACAAACATAACTGTCTTTTACAAAGTAGTTTACAGTACCACTGTAGAGAAGCAAAACTACATGAGCGAATGAAGAGGCCTTCCTCCTGATTCAGCATTTTTATTTCTTATGAGTAGTGAATCAAATTGTATAGTATTAATGTTATTTTTCCAGTGACTCATCATACAAAAAAAAAATCCCAGTGTGCTTATGAAGATTTAGTTATATGCAACTGACATGGTTTATAGCATTGAAATGCAGAAAGAAAAATGAAAAAGAATAGTTCCCTTAACACATGGCACACAGATACATAAGAAGAACGATAAAGTGAATTGATGACTGGTTTTTTTTCCATGCAGTGAGATATAGCTCTGCTATTGGTAGATATCTAGTGGCAGATACCACTTATGGGAACTTTTATTTTGCAGACTCAAAGAGGCAACTAGTAGATAAATTTCAGAGACAATGGCTTATCTGCCATTATCTGCCCTTTAAACTACAGAGCTAGCTAGCAGTTTTAAATGTAAATAGGTCACCAGGGGCTTTAGATGTGATTCCACAGTCATTTCAAGTACCAATGTTGGCTGCTGCAAAAGGAGTACTGCCTCATCAGTGACCTCCTGGCCACTACTGTGGCTGCTGTGAGGTACAACTCACAGCAATTCTCAAGTGCCAGTGCTGTCACACTGGAAGTAAGATATGGTAGGAAAGCGCCAAACCTCCCCTTTGGTGACCCTGACTTTGTAACTTCATCTAAGTAGTGACCATGTGATCGTGGTTACGGCCATCAGGTGTGACAAAGCAAGAGAAAAACCCAAGAGAATCTGCAGGTTAAAACCAGATGTTTCTGGTGCTGGGTCAGTTATACCATTTGGAAGTAAAGGCTCTAGGAATGAACGTGTCAACCTTGCTTTACAAGGATTATGTGGATTGTGACAGGCTTTCAAGTCAACATCCACTGATTTTAGTATTCTGGTTCGATGTGAAATTTAGTTTCAAAATCAGCCTCCTCAAATAGATCCTCTTTTGAATAGGCCAGTGAAGATCAAAAACAAATGCTCTGAGCAGGTGTTTGCTGTACAGTTCTGAGGTACATCACACACAAGATGGCAATGGCACTTCTGTAGGAAACACGGCTATAGTTAATGGAAGTGCACTTCTGGCTCAATCCAGTTCCATCACTCAATAATTCACAAAATATCTGCTGCTCTTAATTTGGCACTGTTTAAAAGCTACATTGGCTCTCTCATAACCCTTGTGAGTGAAACAAAACTATAATTACACACCAGAGCAAACTTACGTTGATGAAAAGAGCAGAGTAATAGTATTTCAACAAGAATAGTTTCATAAAACCACTACGGCATCTCTAACCAGTCCTGTACCTTCAGCATCCTCTAACATATTTTCAAAAGAGAAGCAGCATTAAAAAAATTACCTTGCATAAGTCATAATTTTTGGCAGTAAATGCAAATGTCTGTCATCTCCACAGCTGTGCTGTCTGCTTTAATCTTGTCACAGAGTAATTTGCTACTGCAACACTGCAGTAGGAAAGTGTTATGTTCCTATACATGCCAGATGTGAAGCATGACAGGATAGAATCTCTACTTTGTTTTTCTGAAGAATTACTACTGGTTACTAAAGATCTTTTGGCAAATTTGATAGATACAGCTTGATGCTATTTTTAGCTTCCTGATTTCTTTGCCATATTCTAGTTCTGGTAATTATGCATTTTTGTTGGAAATATTCCTGCATTTTCTTCTAGATGTTCCATTCCTGCTACACTCTATTATCTCTGCTACATTTCATCATAGAAGCATTATCCTTTTAATGAGTAATGGTATTATTAGTTTTGTTTATATCACATTTTCCTTAACGGAAAACTAAAAATGGAGTATTATGAATCACTAACAAAAATGAGTGTTGTTACTAATGCTTTTTAGAACTCTTCCAGCAGAAAAGCTGAGCTCATGGTTAGCTCTTTGGCAGCATTAAAGAGGCTCCTGCCCTGCAAATACCTTTGCATAAGGCTGATTATTAGGTGAACCAAACGGGGAAACTGATCTACCTGGAAAGTAACCCAGAAAGGAAAATCCATGAGATTCTGCAGCCAAGTTCCTTATTTCATTCCAGACACAAACACGAATTAAGCTTCTAGAGATACACATTTGTAATTACACTTTTAGATATGTTGCTATTCAGGTGATCGACTTACAAATAAAATCCTCGTAACTGAAGAGAGAAAACTGGGATTATTTAAATATTACCGCTGAGCGACGTTTTATTTTACAGAATACAATTCCCTGCAATGTTCTGCTGCACGCAAGACAGTTTTATGTTAACATAACCGCGGCACATTTATTGAATGGCATTAGAAGCCTTGTACACGGACAAAAGGACTGAGACGGTCATGTCTGTTATCTGCCTCTCCGTTTAGTTACACCACTTTATGCACACTCATAAAAGAAGTCACGGACTACCGCCGGGAGGGGTTCCTTGAACCCCTAAAGAACTCGGGAAGCACGTCTGTTCCCAGAGAGCATCCGGGACGCCGGGTGTTTCCCTATGGGAAGGCACGTGTGCCCGCGTTCCGCGCCGGGTTCACCGTGTCGCTGGAAAAGCGCCTGTGGAGACTCGGCTGCGGGCTCTACGCCCGCCTGAAGACCAGCCCTCGCAGCAGCGTCGCCTCTCTCCTGGTCGCAGCCCGGCGAGCCCTGACGCTCGGAGCCGGCGGGTCAGCGCTGCCGGCTCTGTCCGTGCCGGGCGCTGTCGGCGGACGCCATTTCCCGGCGCGCGGGGTGAGCTGAGGCGAGGTGAGCCCAGGTCAGGGAGGCGCGCGCCCACTGCGCCTGCGCAGAGCCAACTCCCCCCTCGCTAACGCGTGGCGCGGCGCGCGCAGAGCGGGGCTCACCTCCCTGGTGACCCGGGTGTGCGCAGGCGCGGCGGCAGCAGCGGCGACGACGGCCCCGCGCGAGGCCCGGGGTGCCGCGGGTTGCAGTGCGCCCCGGCGCACGCGCGGTGGCGCGAGGTGCCGCGGCGGCCGGCGGCGGTGGGTGCTCGGCGGCGCAGGCGCAGTGGCGGCGTGGGGACTCCCGGGCCCGGGTGCTGCTGGTGCCGCCGCCGGAGCAGCAGCAGCAGCAGCAGCAGCAGGAGAAGGAGGAGGAAGAGGAGGAGGAGGCGGCGGCGGTGGCTCAGTCGGGCAGTGCTGGCGGGCACGGGGCTGTGCGCGGGGAGCGGCGCTCGCCGGGACAGCTTGGGCGGGCAGCGGCAGCGCGGGGACAGGTGAGCAGCTAGCGCGTCTCTGGGCGGTGCGGGCGGCGGCGCCGGGCCCCGGCGTGCGGCGGCGAGGGGAAGGCGGGGGGACGGCTCGGAGGGGAGCGATGGAAGTTTGACAGCACCGGCGGGTTCCCCTCCGCGCTCCGGCGGGGCGGGAGGGCAGCGGCTGCCCTTGGGCGGGCACGGCCGCAGCCGGGGGCGGAGGGCGCTCGCGGGGCACCCGCTAGGCCCGGTGACCCACTTTGCTCCTGTCACAACTCCGGGCGCGGCGGGAGCGCTGTCCGTCTGGCCCCGCGCCCGCGGACCGAGAAGGGCGGGCGCGGGGCTCCCCGGCATCCCCGGGCCGGGCCAGGCCGAGCGGAGCCGTGGGCGCCGCCTCCCCTCGCGGCCCGTCCGCCGCCGCTCCGCTCCGCGGGGCGACTCGTCCCGCGGGGGCCCAGGGGAGCCGCCCGCCCCGCCGCCCCACGCCCGGGGAAGGTTTGCGGGGGGTGGTCCCCAGGAACGCGGTGCGGGTGTTTGCACGGCCGTCGGGCTGCGGTCGGTGCCCGCCTGGCCCCGGGCCCTCCCCGGGCGGGACAGCGCCGCGGGGCCGCGGGCTCCGGGCGGCGGGCGGCGGCAGGAGCGAGCCCCGCGCTCGCCCTGCGGCAGGTGGGCTGGAGCTGCGGGCGCGTACGCACTTTGTAGGCTTTTTTTTTTTTTTTTTAATTTTCGGGTAACTTTATTGCGGTGCCTGCAGCGTGTTCGGGCTCCGAAACCTAAGGGCTTCTCGGCAGCGTCCGGTCCTCGCCCGACTTATTGCGGCCTGAAAGTCAGTGTGTCAAATACTCCAGTGCGTGCAGGTGTGAAATAGGACCAGCGAGGAAATCCGTGGTACCTAAATTCTGTGTTTGTGTTAAGGTGGATCCCCATTTCTGGTTGGTTTCACTTTCAAATTCCTGCTACTTTAGGCCTCGATATAAATTTATTTTTTTTTCCGTGAGGAGGAGTGCTTGTGAACTAATCAAAGAGATTTGTCGTGAGATTTCTGTAAGGCTGTTGTTTTCATGTGCCTGTTAAGGGCTGACCTACCAAGAGGCACAGGGAAAGTCAGATAAGGTTTTAGCTAGGATATGAAGTGGCATGTAGCGATGGAGTGGCTGGTCATAGATCCAGACCCTCTGAATCCTTAAAGTAAGTCTTTTTTTTAAATG